CCCCCTTTTCATCATGCCCTGCTTTAAGCTATATTCTCCTTTTCCTCTATTCATTGTATCTTCTTTATAATTCTATTGAATCCCACAAGTACTAAGCGACAGAAACAGATATGCTGTAACAGTTTATTGAGGATAAATTATTCACTAGTTTTATGTTTATTAAACAAAACATGTTAAAGTGTAGGCTATATGACACAAAGCCTGCTTCATTATATGACTGGGGGTATAAAATGCACCCATGATCCACAGAGATCCGAGAGGCCTTCAAAGTATTCGACCGCGATGGGAACGGCTTCATCTCCAAGCAGGAGCTGGGCATGGCCATGCGCTCCCTGGGGTACATGCCCAACGAGGTGGAGCTGGAGGTCATCATCCAGAGGCTGGACATGGACGGTGAGGCAGCGTGCGGCACCCGAGAAAAAAGGTGTAAAAGTTTAATCTGCAAAGCAGGCCTGCCTGATCTCTGCTGCTACTCTGTGACTCTGATAAATGTGAGCCCACAGAAACTGGAAAGCAGGGATATTCCGCGATGTTACAAGAGAGCATTTTCTCGCCATTATGTTAGCACAGAAAGAGCGAGCTACACTGTAGTAAACATCACATCAAGGACGTTTTGTAGGTTTATCAAACAACAATTTCGAATGAAGCTTTTTTCCCCCCACAAAGCACATTTCTATTCAAATGCCAGTTTCTGTAATAATAACATTAATCTTATTAACATATTAATACAGAATATAACACTGTAGGCCTATTATTTCGTAACATGTACCAGGGTTTTCAACCATTCTTTCACCAGGAAGCACCAAATTAAAATAGGCCACAGCTAAGAACCCCATAGCAATGTGTAATCACATAAGTAATTAAGAACTAAGGATTTCGGAAAGGGTGTGTGTGTGTGTGTGTGTGTGTGTTAATAATATAAAATTCATCAGTTGTCTGTGGACCCAAAGGGGCTGGCGGACCTCCGGTTCACATACACTCTTATCAATATTTGAACTGCAACAAAGTTTGTATATAATTACCATTTCATTAATTACATTACGATTTCATGGGACTATTTTGGATGCAATTAACGTTTATCGGCATGACACAAAGTAATATATTAGGTAGACAATAATTAAGGTCTTATTGATGCTGTTCTTATTTACAGTAGACCTTGTGAATAATTTGTTCAAAGTGAGGCAGATAACTACCAATTCCTCTGATCATGTAGGGGACGGCCAGGTGGATTTCGAGGAATTCGTCACCTTGCTCGGACCAAAGCTGTCGGCGGCCGGCATGCCGGACAAGTTTCACGGAACAGATTTCGACTCGGTGTTTTGGAAGGTGATACTTATAACCGATCATTCTTTTCTTTAACGAAATAAATTCATGCAGTCAGTCCAGTTCAATACATCATCAATGATGCGCAAAACAGGAATTAAAGGTAAAAAGCTTAATTGCAGCCACATCAGTTCACAAAATCTCTTTGTTCAGTCAGTATTGAAGCGATGCCTTGCTACATTCACGGTGCATCACCTCTATTTTAAATCATTCTGATCCTCCGGGGATATGGCAAGAAATTGCAATGAAGATGAACCGAAGGTACCAGATGTCCTAATGGCAAAGAAAGGAAACGGGGAATTCCCGAGTGTCCCGTCTTGCTCATTTTGAATGACAGCTCTAGAGACCACAGAGCATAACCAGTACCGTTATGCCTTAAGCAGAGAACCGCGTAAGTTTAATAATGCAAAGTGACATAGATTGTTATTTATAAAACATCAGCTGTAATAGAGTATATGATAATAACAGCAATTCTTCACTTAAGGAGATTTGCCAAGACGCAAACAGCCGTTTCGTTTATGAGAAAATCTCAAAGAAACGCTACGGTGAGGTTTTCAAAAAATGTTAAAGAAGAATGTATTACATTATTCATAAGATACTTCATAGCAGTGAGAAAGTATGATCTTATTCAGTTTATAAGATCAGAGCTGTATAACATCAGATATCAGACCCTAGTCTGTTTTACACTAAAGTGTGCTTTAAGGTGAATTACTTGTACAAATAAAAAGGACATTAGAGAATGTGATATTCAAACCATGACAACAATTCAAAGGCTAATGGCTAAGCACACTCCAAACATTAAGTGAGAACTATTCCATGGAGGACAAACACCAGACCTAAGCTCTCCAGTCTGGATGGCAAATAGAACCAATAACACAGGAAGAGGAGGACAAATTTATTTAGCTACGGGCTGTCGAAAGAGCAGAAGCCAGTCCCTTCTCCCCCCCTCAGTGTGACATGCAGAAGCTGACTGTGGAGGAGCTGAAGAGGCTGCTTTACGACACCTTCTGCGATCACCTGTCTATGAAAGACATCGAGAACATCATCATGACTGAGGAGAACCACATCAAGAACCCAGAGCAGTGTCAGGTGGATATCGACAGTAAGAGGCCGCAGTTTAACACGGATCTTCCATTCAACCACCATCCATCGTCCAGTTGCTTATCCTGCTCAGGATCATGGGCGGGAGGGGGGGGGGGATCCCAGGCAGTTCAGGGCTGGGGTACAGCGGGGGCAGGATGGCAGTCCATCAGAGAGAGAGGATACCTGGCCAAACAGGAGGAAATACACACACACACACACACAACACAGAAAAAGTCCCAGCAGACATAGCAATTACAATTTAAGTACAATTTCAAGATTGTTTCAGATGGGTTTTGGACAGAATGTCTGGTCTGTTGTTTGGCATTAGAATCAGCTGAGAGCAGCTGATAAGGTCAACCAGAGTTTCACACGAGGGCAAAGACATACAGGTATCCCCAACTCACACTCTTCTGGTTTGAATGTTATTTATGGCACCAAGGAACCATCTTCTAAAGTATGTGCAGGTCTGAAGCACCAGTCAACATGCTGAATATAAGACAAGAAAGACAACACATGCTGATTACAGATAAATATTTAATTGCACATTTGAAATCTGTATAGATGGCCTTCTACCAACAATTACCTCAGGGAGGTCTCATGATTAAAATGTTCTACCAAAAAAAGACATTAAATTTAAAGCTGCAAAAAATAAATATTGTGAATGCTTCAATAAATCATTTCTTATGCGGTTTCACAACCCCCGTGAAATTTTTCCCTTTTCCTGCGAGCTTCCTGAAGCTTCAGGCAGGATGGAATATCGACTGTGTCCCAGACCTGGTTATTAATGTCTAATTGTGCTTCTATTCTGGCTTTTGTCTCTGGATTACTAACAAGGTGGACCTGTTCCAAAGATTCAAAGGTTAATTATTTGCAATTAACAACCTATTAATGGAAGTTAGTTAGTGGTTGATTTACACAAACACTTTGCACACCCTCACCAGGAAAGACAAACATCTGTAAGAAAACTTGGAAGCGAGTGCAAAGTTTATAGCGTTATCTCATCAACATCTTATAAATGTGTGGAGTGTTTTATTATTTTATAAATATTGCTTTGCCTCTCATTAAAGAGTGGTGCACATGCACCTCGTATTGGCCTTATGTAAGGAAGTGGTGAAGAGCAGAACTGCTTTTTAGCCCTCATACCCATCTGCTCTCTCCCTTTTCCTGTCTCGCTCTCTCCAGCCAGCCCAACGCAGCAGGTCAAGCAGACCTGTGTGCGAAAGAGCCTGATCTGCGCCTTTGCCATCGCCTTCATCATCAGCGTCATGCTCATTGCGGCCAATCAGGTCCTGCGCAGTGGCATGAAGTAAGAGCCTCATCGGGCTCCACCTATCTCCACCGGACTGACACAGACCACACCCACCTCCCCTCCTTAACCAATAACCCCCAAGCAGATAATAATCATCGTTTTCCAAAATTTACGCACAGGGACTGCCGTCCACTGGAAACTCAGCAGGCAAAAATGGGCTGAAGCTGGTCTTGCGATAGAGACCAATACTTATGCATGAAGAGCATGTATTTACATCACCAAAAAAAAAATCAAAGTTATGATTATAAATATGATTATTAGCACATGTATGAGTGACTGTGTAAAAGCCAACTGTAACTTATTTATGATCAGCTGTGGCCAGTGTCATCCAGGGCTGGTCGGGGTTTGACGTCTCTGGTGATTGGGGTTTTAGCAAAGAGAAGGGCTGTTTAGGAAAATACTGCAGCTTTGTAATTAATGTTCTGGAAGATTCCCCCACTACTGACCGCTCCCTCATCAGACTTGGTGCCCCACAATTATACTCTGTCGTCTGGGGCATTTGCAACTCATTAATAATTCATTATAAATAGCTACCAAAAAAATGTAATTGAGTAAGCGGCAATCGCTTTCATTATTTCATGGATCGCTGCTTCAGAAACATCGGATATTAAAACACACACACACACACACACACACACACAGGTTTGTAATTATAACTTTATAGGGACTCTCCATTCATTTCTATGGGGAAAACTCTAATCCCAACGTGACGATGTTAACCCTTACTCAGCCCTAACCTGAACCATAAGTAACCAATCAAAATATGATACTTTTGGCATTTTTTGTTTTTTGATTGCATTCACAGACCTATGTCGGGACCTGAAAAATGGTCCCCACAATGACAAAATAACAGATTTTTATTACATTGTGGAGAATATTTGGTCCACACAATGTAATATAAAAATGATCCACACACATACACACACACACACACACACACACACACACACACCACACCAGTGAAATATGTCAGATAGTCAAGCCATGGTAGTTCAGAGTGAGGCTGTATGGGTCCCACGGTGTATGAATGACCAGACTTGCAGAGATGTCCCTCATCTGAACATTTCAGGCAGCAAAAACCTGACACACAAGTGTGATGGAGGAGCTTTACTGTGGAGTCGGGATTCGACGCGTAAAGCAATATTGTGAAATTCCTCTTGTTTGAGCTGTGCTATCTGGGAAGTTCTGTTTTTTGTGAGTAAGGCGGTCAGTAGCCTTAGGGCCATGATCTCTCTGAACAGCAAACATCCACGATATTAAAACACTGAAGGAACAAAACAGAATGACACTCCATAATTCCATTCCCGTGTTTCTCCAAGAAAATTCAGCAGGCATATACTGTAAGACACTTGTAAGTTCCTATGATAATTATTTTTTTTTTTTAAGCTGTAGGTTTATTATGGCAATAGCTTGAGGGCAGTCATTATGGTTTTTAGAGTTAATGTTCTCATTTGAGTAAACAAGGAAGCCAAGTTTTACAAAGCTTCGAGCAACACTATGTCCTCCCAAGGTGACCAGTCCTTATCAAGCTAGCCTGCATCTAATTACCCATGAGTCTATGCACGCATATACTGTATGCATCTTCGATGCACCAATGACCTATTGCAATAGAATCTGTACACTGTTTATACCTGCTTGTAGTAAACCTTTTATTAACAGAGACGGCCAGGATGTACCTGGATCTGGTGAAAAAGGGGCCTTTAACAGGGAGAATGTCAATCTTGCTGACTGATTGCTTAGAGTGCGGAAATGGAAGGCAAATCTTGCCTGGCTGGAATGATGATTACTGGAGCGAATGACAAAGACACAGATAATTTACTACAAATGAACGCAGGAGAATTGGATATTTCCACTTGTGTTATGCATCAATCCCAGGAGGCTGAATCTCTGTGTTCTCATTTAGTGTAATGTGCATGTTTTTTGGCGTTTCCAGCCCCCCTTTCCCAGCCAGCCTGTTATTAAAATGTGCTACTTCAGCTGGAATAACTTTTTTGTCAGAGTATGTTCCCTCACAATGGCGGCACTTCCTGTTTGAGAAGGAAGTCCTCACATTTCTATTTAGAAAGGCATCAGGCGAGGACAAGGAAAGTTGAGATGTCTAAAATAACATTTTCCATTCACCAAGATGCCACATTTTTAAGTTTACAGTATTGTTCATTTTACAAAGAGTATAAAATTCAGCAGTATGCCATAGCATGGCATTCATTAATGCATCACCACAGGTCTTTAAAATGATACACAGAATCTCTCCAAAGGTACAGTATGTACTAAACAAACAAACAAATAAATAAATGGTGCGGTAGGTGTAATAATACAAAAACTGGATTTTTAAAAAAATATTTTGTTTATTTTTATTTTATCATTTATATAAATGTACTGTGTTGCAAAAATCAAGTTATTATGGTTCAACACCATTGAACTGTCTTTCATTTTAAGTATATTTTATTGTATCATAATAATTTTGATTTTGACAGAAACAATATTTTTTATATATATATGCTTTTGTAATCACTGGTGTTAAAGGTAGGGTAGTAGTTATATTATGAGGTAATAATGAAGGATTGCAGGGTGTTTGAAGGCTGTTCTTGTTGAGTTATGGACCTTAATTCTTAATTCCCCTTTAATTCCCACTCTTCTAATACAAGTATTTTCCCATAAATTGTGTGAAGTATTGGAAAAAAATGATGAATATGTTAATTAATCAAGCAGTCCTTGTGATCTACTGGTCAAATTATTCCTGCTCTTGTATCCTTTTAATGCACGTGTCTGGATCTCACACCAAAATGTTTTGTATAATAATGTTAGAAACATCTTGTAAACAACAAACAACAAAAAAAATTACAAAACAATTCTAGCTCTCTTCCAGTTCAGAATGTGTGTGGGATGATATTGCTTATAAATAAAGGGAACCAAAAGAACATTCTGAATGTAATTAACACTAAAACATCAAAGTGTCTGACCTCCTAAAATTTTCATTCGATTTACTAGTCTAATTTGAATAAAATATGTTTCATGGTTCCCTAAATACTGAACTTGGTCGCTGAAGCAGTTCTGTCCTTGTTAACTTCCTTCTGTAACTCAAAACTCTGGTTCTGCAAGCTCGGGCATCTATAGGGCAGAGGTCAAGTGGCAGAATGAATCATTAAGCCTGTTGGTGTGGGAGCACCAGGATTTCCCCACACTGACATGAGGTGGAGGTCCCATTTACTGATTCAGCTCCAAAGCAATAGAAAAAAATCTGCAGCCGCATTCAGCTTTATCGGAACGATTTCTGGATATATTTATTTTTGTGTCACTGGATTCGTTTTACTATGTGCTAGATTAGTACCCAGTTGACTGAACTGAGAGGCGACATCATTAAGGCGAACACCGCATGCCAAGCAAACACACTCAGATGGGTGCCTGTTGAATGATACCTAAGCTGTTCCTGTTCCAGAGCACACTCAGAAATGGAAGGATGAAGGCAGATAGGGGGCACTACAGAAGCATCTCCAGTTCACACCTTGCTGTGTTCAGACATTGTTAATCGGACAGTGTGCTTATATCTTTGGACAGAACAAGAAGACATTTTTAGACATCCTCTGCTATCATTTTTTTTTTATGCCAGAATGTGCTAAAACATAGTGCACAAAGCAGCTGTATCACTGTGCTGGAGCTGCTAACTCTTAGAGGGACTAGAGCCCATCTCAGAGGCAGGGAATGCACTGGATGGGGTGCCAGTCCATCACAGGGCAAACACAGACACAATCACACAAAGTGGGTCATTTGTATTTATTTAACAGATCCTTTTAACCAAATGGTGTACAGCTGATAAAAAAGGGGTCAGCCCTAGATCAGGCTTGTGGAAGGGCTCAGTGGTGATATCACTGTGCCAATGGTTTGAATGAGTGACCTGTTGACCACGAGCATAGTGTTGTGACCCACTGAGCCACACACGGCCCCCGCTGGGTGACCCGCACCATGTCTTTGGATTGTTGAAGGACCCCCTATTTACCCTGAGAGAACCTTTTATTTCCACTGGGTGTGAGTCCCATGACACCTTTGAAACAATTTAATCTCTTTCACAAACCAGGAGTATGAACCAGTAAATTTAAGTTTACAACACATTACAGTTCACTAGTCACTCAGGGTCCCAACAGTGAAATGTTCTTCAGAAAAATGACTCAATAATAAAACTTGAGTGATTTAATAATAATCAGATGCAATTATGTGACTCACTGTCACAAACTATAATACAGTATGCTACTTTAGCACCTAAAACACATAAAAGATTAAGGACAGGATAGAGATAACAAATATACAACCACTCCTCATTTAGAGACCGAATTCCAACAGCCAGGTCATTAAACAAAATGGTCACTCAGTGAAAATCACGGAACCCAAATCTGGTCATAAATGCATGTATTGGTAGAAAAATTATTTTTTTATTACTGTCGTACTAGCAGGTGGCTAATCGAGGTAGCCGCTAAATGAGGAGCTGTTGTCTGATATTATGTATATTCCGCTGTCAGACAACACGGCACTCAATGCTCAGCTATCCTGGAGAACCGGTGTGAGACACAAAGGCAGATGTAGACGAGAAGTTTAGGAAACACAAGTCTTGGGATGTCAACACGGCCCATTGTAAGACACTGGAACAAAAGTGGGAAACAAAAGATGGGAAGTTTCCCTGCAGAAGATTTCAAAAACAAACACATCAGCAATTTATAGTCATTATATTTCTTCTTTGGTCCCCAATATAAGACAAATATGAATCAAATTTCCAGCTGCACTGACACATTTGTCTGTCTTTCTGTTTTCTTGCTCATTGTCACTCCATAAATAAATGCACATTTTACAGCATGATGGACCTGAATGCCAAAAATTTGCATTCTATTTGAAAACATAAACAATCCTATATAAACCAAGGACATTTCAGTTTCAGTTCGTCCAAAATATACATTTCATTAGCTCTGGTGTGTCATGTTAAGAAATACATTAAAAATACCACATCGGCCGTGGTCATCTCTTTATCCGGCCACTAGGCAACGTATTGGGTCATCCCGGCAGCCATTTTGAGTTTACCTTTTAACATCATAATCCCTGATAACATGTTTGATTATGAATCCTGATGCTGCCATCACATTAAATCAGATCCCTGCCACTATTCAAACACTGGCTGCAGTAGTTGAGCAAGAAAGAATTTGGGGATGATTCACTGCCATTGTCAAAGGGCTGCTTCATCAGAGCAGCGCAGATGCATGGTTCACAAAGAGATTCACAGCCTGGTGACATCTCTCACAACTCTGCTGCTACTGACCCACAGCTGTGTCCGTGCTGTGACAGGCTGCTACAGCAGGGAGCTAAAGAGATCATTATCCTGCCCATGGAGTTGGAACTGCCTTCTAACTGAAAAGCCACAGATAGAGAATGCGTACAAGTAATAGTATGTTTGATCTCTCATTGCCTGTTATGCTTTAGATAATCAGAATTTCTATCAATGGTGGATATCATAATGGATTTAGCTAAATCAAGTGCAATTTAATCTCTGTCAATAATGAGAATGCAAGTACCTACGGGCTAATATATCCATCCATCCATCCATCCATCCATTCATCCATCCATCTTCTAATTGATTATCCAGCTTATGGTCTTGGGGGGAAGCTATTTTCCCGCATACACTGGTCAACCATAACATTAAAACCATTG